TTTTTTAAATTCTTGACGTTTGCAAGCAATTTAATTTTAAAATTTTACACACAAACTCGCACACACATTCTCATTTTCAATCTCAAACAACAACTTTGAACAATTCCTTTTTTACTCTCAATTTTATATGATTTTAAAGTGTTGGCAACTGGCCGACGAATTGAGAGAACGGTTTTACCTTACTATGTTTTTATCATGCACCAAAACACTAACCAAAATCACACCTACAGCCTGCCAGAAAAAACGGTAAGAAGAAGAGTTAGGTTTTCCGCACATTGGTCGTCCAATCATAGTTGCTTCATCGGCACAATCATGATGCAAAGATTACATGACGACTATACTTTCGCACACTTGGCCGTGATATTACAATTCATTTGGCGTCTAAACAATCGCTTAGAGCAGGTGTTTTCTGTTTTTATACCCGAGCGCACTTGTGCACAAGGGTATTATAACTTTGTTCACATAACGATTGTTTGTAACAGGCAAAACGAATCGAGATAGATATAGACAAATGTATACATAAATGATCAGGATGAAAAGAGAAATCGATTAAGCGATGACTGTCTGTCGGTCCGTCCGTCCGTCTGTCGGTCCGTCTGTGCACACGATAACTCGAGTAAAAATTAATATATCTTAACGAAACTTGGTACGTGTACTTCTTTCGGGCGTAGGACGGATGGTATTGAAAATGGGAAAAATCGGACAATAACCACGCCTACCTCCCATATAACGGTAGTTTTCAGAAATACGAAAACTGCGATATTTTAGTAACTACTGAAGATTATTCACTCAAAATTGATATTTACAATAATTTTTAGACGAAAAATAAGAATATTATAAAATTTTGAAAAATGGGCGTAGCCACATGGGTATATCTTGGCAACCGCTGTACCGATTTCTTCCAAACTTGGCACAGTTATTGGACTTGGTACAGGATATCAAATGGCCGAAAATTTTTAAAATCGGACAATAACCACGCCCACATCCCATATAACGGTAATTTGGAGAAATACGAAATCTTCGATAAATCAGTAAATGTTAAAGCTAATTTATTCAAAATTGATGCTTGCAACAATCCTTTACCAAGAAATACGCTTATGATAAAATTTTGGAAAATGGGCGTGGCACCGCCCACTTATGATCACATATATATATATCGGTAACCGTTCAACCAATTTGTACCAAACTCGGTATTTTTATTGTGCTTGCCACATAAAAGCAAAACGTTGAAAATTATTGTAATCGGACTAAAATTCCGGCCGCTTTTCAATGTTCAATATTTCGAAATTTAAGGACGCTAGTTTACTCAAAATTGATACACCCCGGCTAACCATCTAGCGGTAGGTTTCGGAAAGGTGAAAAAACATTTATTTTATATTTGCCCAGGGTATTTAATGTTCGGCTCCGCCCGAACTTAGACTTTCTTACTTGTTTTTTGGCTGATTTTTACAAAAGCCTGCAATTTTTAAATTGTGAACTGTGCTGCAACAATTCTAGACATTGGCTTATAGTCAAATACCACGTTTATATGATTCGTTCTAAGTCAAACCATGTTATATGGACACACACATGTAAACACCTTCTCTAATCGCATTGAAACTTTTAACCGTGCCACCATAAATCACTTTTTGAATGCGAGTTAAGAGTTGTTGAATCGTGTTAAGAGTGCATATAAACACGGAATTTGTCCACACGATTGTTTCATGCAACTCTGTATATAAAGTAAACCATTTAAATAGTTCTTGAAATTACATTTATGCTAAGCTTTGTTATAAAATTAATAGCTAAGATAATTTTTACAAGGCTGTTTGAGACTTTAATTATTATTTTTCAATGTTCATTATTTTCAAGAATTGACACATGTATTAACAGGGTTGCATCGGAATAAACTCTGTTTGAAAGTGTGTTTGATCGACTCATTTCTTGTGTTGCATATAAACTCTTGCATTTCAAGCGAGCTACGCTGACACGAGTTAATTCGATACCGCGTTTGATGCCATATAAACAAGGTAATAGCCGCAAGTTAAAACTCATTCTTGTTAAAATACAGTTTTAAGTTTAGAATAGAGTTTTAAGTTGTGTTAATCATAGACATCTTAGAAACAGCTTTTTGTTAAGATGAGAGATAACAGTGCTATCCATATGAAGAGTAAACATTTACCCGGCTTAGGAGTACTTTAATTTGTTCACCCTGTGTCCGCTGCAGGATTGCGGATTTAGCAAGCCGGGAAGTCATTGGTTCGAATCCCACTGCCAGGGAACTTTTTTTACATCTTTTTTTGTTCTTTCAAATATTATTAAAATTTTTGTTATTTAATTATAGTTGTTCTGGCCTTTTTAATTAAAAATAAACTCCAAAAAATGTTATTAATAACGAAATAATTATATGAAATATAAAAAAAGATGATAAAACAAAATTTAATGAAATAAAATAATGTTTATGGTAAAATAAAAAAAAAATAAAAAAATAAAAATTGTTTGGAATCGCTCGGAGTGGGAACAGAACCTGGGACCTATTGCGTTTACTACTTCAACAACAAAACAAAACTTAGAACCTTATTTTACCATTTTAAAACCGCGTTTTTTGCCATAAAATGGATTTTAAGTTGACTATGAAAGAGATAAAGTAGTGATTACAATAAAACACAATTTTAATCGTTAAAACCTTTTTCTAACTTCTCTATGACTACGGGCCATTATTTTTCATTGATCTCTCTTCTTTTCTTCTCCTGAAATGTGTGCACGCGCCTAGAGACTTTTACAATTTCAACATGTTTGATAGTTAAAACTCTCACGTTTATTGAATTTTTAATAATTTCCACAGATTTAATGCAAGAAATACTCATTTTTATGTAATGTACACTTTTTCACTAATTTTTCCCAATAAAGTGTAAACAAACAATGCGTGTATAACGATTAGCAAACGACAGTATCGTACTTATCCGTTTCTGCATCTTCTACTATTTGCCGATAACGACAAGTGTGCAGGCCTTCATTGAAACGCATGTGCTCGGCTCAAAATTTCAGGGCGAGACGATAACGCAACCATGATTGGACGACCATTGTGCGGATAGTCTTACGTTACTTATAGAACTGTACGATGACTTGAATTCAGTAAAAGTAGACGCGTGTGGAAGCAACTAGAATACACAAGAGAATTCGAAAAGATTTGCTTTCAAGACTTGACGTGTCTGAAAGGGGACCAACATAAAATGGTCCCATGTACATATGTTCTTTTTAAATAATGAGGAATACGAATAACTATATCGGAGCATATAATATCTAATATAAAAATTAGATTTAATCCTTGAAGTAATGATCCAATTAGGAACAAATGCAGTTTGGCTCCAAATCTCAAATTTAAAAAAAAAATTGGGATCGATAGAGATGATGGAGCTGAGTATAACGGTTTACTTCTTTT